AGTGTGCCCGACCTCGTAAACGTTATATCTGCTTCCTCTGAACCTAAGCCAGCCTCCAATTCTGAAGAAATGGGCCATGCAAAGGAAACCGATCCAGTAAAACCTTATAGCAGCCCCACATTGTGTGGAAAAGAGAATGAGCTATCTTCTGCTCCCGCAGTTAATGCTGCCAACGCTGACTTGGCCGACCATGGCGATTTGGCCGAAGGAGAGGAGGCTCCGAAGGTGGGTGAGGTAGCTGAATCGGAGGGTCAGAAAAAGAGGCGGCCTACTAAGGGACAGAAGAAGCGCGCTAAACTGGCGAATCTCTCTCAGGCAGATGCTGTCGTCGCCGAGGGTTATGATTTAGGTCAGTTTAAGATTTTCTTAAGTGCGGTTGCATGGTGCTCAAGCTTATCACTTGCATTTTTCTTATGTCTTTGTTATCCATGGTCTAACTAGCATGAGGGCTTCAGTTGTCAGTACTAGGATTTATTTGCATAGACTAACCTCATTGTTCATACTATTATCTTATACACGATGGGTGTTGGCATATTCAGATTATTCAAGAAGTAGAGTTCGTTGAATCGAGCCAAACGGTATTCATTTTTTCTGTTCCCCCTGTCTACAAGGGGTTCACATTAAACAACAACCTACAATTCTTAATCAATGGACTCGGTTTTATAAGTATTTATTTGGAAATGCAATGTTACTGGTCTGTACAGACAACCAGGCCAGGTAATAAAATTACCTATGAATCTAGAGATCTAGCATGGAAAGCATAAATAATAAGTTTACCCAATGTTTTCTTATCTCGTTTTTTCAGGCCGTGATCCCTATCAGTCTCCTGCATTATGGCCCAGTCTTCCTATTTGGTCTATATTTCAAGTGCGCCTTTGGATCGCTCGCTCAGATCTCTGTTCTGATGTATCATCTACTGCAGAACGGTGAGACTACCACACTAGCGTTTTCTTTTTCTGCTTTTTTGTTATTTATTCTTAGGTGACTCGAGTTTTTATTTCAAAGATAAATTTAGTTGGAAGGGGTCTGTTAACTGGCTTCACCGCAAACCAAATGAAGATTTGCTTGGAGTAGAGAGTCACGCGTATGATGATTAGGCGTACACCTACTACCCTGATTAACCCATGTTTAGCTATTGTGACAGGCATCACCAGTGCAAGGAATCATCATTTACGAGAGGACCGTTTACCTTTCTTGGTTTGGTATATTAGTCATTTTTCACACATGATTCTTTCTCCCTCTGACTGCTTTACACTGCAGCAGAAAGGTCAGCGCAGATTTATCGTTGCAAAATGACGGTGAGCCGGGGACTCTTTCGCGAATAAATAAATTTCCGCCCTGGGGCAATTCTCTTTCAGTTCCAGTCAAATCCATTAGTCCCTTCTATCAATTTTTGCTTCACCTTAAATTATTAAAGGTTTCCTCAAGACACAGTTTTACTTAATATGCCTCTTGTTCTTTATACTCACATAGTTATTCCATTTACTTTCCTTACTTTATT